ATTTACTGTTTGATATACCTTCCAGAGTACAATGCTGCAATGTTTGAAATTATTTAAACTTCAGAGGAAAAAATGTTCTTGAAGTCCTCCTATCTTTCCACTTGATGCCTGCTTTTTTAAATGGCTATGCAGTAGCAGACTGTTCTGCTGGCATGAAAGGTTTGATAGTGATTCAGAAACAGTAACAGACTGAAATAGCCCAAAGTGAGAACAGAGTTTTAAGGTCACTGTAAAGCTGCAAAGGTAGGGCAGAGGGAGAAATGGGAGGGATTTCACATTTGATAATTCTTCTGAAAGCATTAAATAAAATGAAAAAAGGGATGTGGTTTTGGTTTTTTTGCCATATATCTAATTAAAGTGAAATCTTGGTAGGTAGAGGGCATGTTTTCCATTGCCCAGTGAGCATGACTCTGTACTGCAAACACGATCTTCATAAGGCTGTTTCAGACACAGGGCACACAACATGACCTGATCCTTTTATTCTTATGTGCTAAGCCATCACAGCACAGATCCAAAAAGGAACAGCATACCCTTCAAGGCCACTCATATTCCTGGTGCAGCACAGTCCTCTGACATCTGTGGTGACCTGGAAAGGAACTATGGGAACAAGAGGAATAGCAGCACTGCATCAGGGGAGAGTGAGCTGGTGGAAAATGGTGATAACCTCTGAATTGCCTTCCAGTAAGTCTCCACTTGGCTGTGAGTAGGAGGACTTCATTTAAAATTAGAGATACTGACAGCTGCTTTTATATAGGAGAACATCTTTTTTTGCAAAGAACACCTTTTCAAGTAATTTTCACTTCACTTTAGAGTACAGAGAACCAAGGCAGGAGAATGAGATGGTACTTAAATACAAGTAATCAGAAGTGGGTATAGAAATACTTTTAGAATTGGACATGATATGGCTCCTGTCATTGCTGCAAAAGCCTGCCTGAACGCATGCTGTTATCTAATTTACCTTAGAAGAAACTGCAGGAATATTCAGATTCCTAATATTGCTTTTCTATTTGCAAGGGTGCTCACATTGCCCATCCTTTGTAAAATGGCTTGAACAGTAACAGCTGTTAAGATAACAGTGTGAGTTCAAGCCTCCCAAACTGTCTGAGTGCATGTGCCACAGCTGATCCTAATAAAGGGATGACAACCGTCAGCTGGATTAAACAGTAACCAGGAAGTTACATAGTGAGTTCTGAAAGAAGGGAAGGGCCAATTTGGAAGGAACTGTATGGGACAAATGAAACTTTGTAACAGGACGGAGAACAGTGGTGACAGATAGATCCAGCAGTCAAAACCAGAGGAGGTGGGTTTGACACCGTTCGTTGTATGTTCATCTGCTGCCATCAAAAACTCTGTGCCAGGCAGACTCATCCTCCCTGCCCGATCCTGCCAGTGCCTTCATCCAGCTCGGGCAGTGACCATGCACGTGTGACAGGCAGGGACTCACACCTGGGTGTCAGTGTAGTACCTTGGGTGGTGCTTCTTCCCTGGTGTGTGCATTAGCAGGTTGTAAGGTGCAGCACAGGTACACATTAATAAACCACATCTCCCACAGGAGATATGCGTGAGAGGTAGACTGTGTGTATAACCACGGGTGGGTGGTGCACAACTTTGTGTGCATGATTAGAACTTTGGGAGATAAGTGAAGGAAGGTTCTTCAGAAATTTGTTAGGTGCTTATGAGCATTTTGTCTATTAACAGTGCCTTGTCTGTTGCATTGCTGATATGGAACCTGAATGTATATCCCATTGATTGCCAGTTAATTATGTTCTATTAATAAATCAATAAGCCAGTTTGATTTTGATTTAGTTTAAACTAAGTAAACTGTGCAGTTTTCCCCTCTCACACCTTTATGTTGAGATTGTAGATATTACATGATGTGAAATGCCATTATGAGTTATAGAAGTTGTGTGACAGTGGGAGAAAAGGCAAATGTTGATGATGAAAAGATAATCTTACTGTTAATACAGTGGGACAGCACATTTTCATGAAGATTTTTGGGCAAGACAGTGATTGGTTCTAGAATTCTATGGGCTCTAATGATATCATTAAACTCAAGTGTAACAGGAAGAAGGCTGTTAGGACATGCTGAAATTATACTGGTCAGAGATGCTATTTCAGCAGTGGCGAATTAAGCTTCTGTTACTAGTCATCATTAGTTCCCTATGGAATACTCTGACTTCCTCAGATCTGTCTTCCTAACACAACATGGCTTCCAAACACTGATCTCCAAGTTATTCTGGTTTGAACAAACACTCTGAATGTTGATGTTAAGCCTCCACACTGAGCAAGAAATTAACAAAAACTTCAATAACTTATTCTGACCTTATACTGATTCTACTTTGTGCAGGAGTATTGGACAAGATAACTTCCTGAGGTCCATTCCCAGCTGTACTTTCCTAGGCTCTTATATCTTGACCTGCACTTTTTCTCGTGCTGATATTTTCTCTGGGGGTGATATTTTGGCTGTCTGGCTGCATCCACAGCAATATGTGAGTGTGGTCACACCAGTTCTCAAAGCAATAGCTCTGCTTCCTTAGATAAAATCCAGCTGTCTTTGACTGCATAACTACTTTTCTGCCTTTTTTGATGAGTAGGAAGTAAGGGTACTCTAGAGATGGCTTTTTTCTGCCTGCCTTAGAGGTCCTGAGGCACAGTTTGCCTATGCACTCTGTTTTGTTAGAGGCTGAAGATGACTAAACAAAGTCAGACACGATTAAAGACATTAGTTTTAAATTGATAGCCCATGGAAGAGGTGAGGAAGGAAAGCAAGTTTAAGTTCCTGATTTTATTTCCATTTAGTTAGGTTAAGTTTAATCAATGGTTTGAGAAGATCACAAACACAAGACCAGAAGGGACTGAGTCTGGTCCCTTGATTTGTGATTGAAGATGATTTCTTTGTATAGGCCTACATTACATCCATACAAACATAGACTCACTAGGTTAGGTGAGTCTTCTAATTTTTAGCTTAAATTTATTCATAGGAGTTGTGGTTTTGCATGCTGATGCTCAAAGAGTTTTAGCATTGCCTGTATTTGTAGACAGCAGTCAGGAAAGTTAAAGTACCATTTCAATTCCAGTTGTGGTTGAGCTGTAGCTGAAGTTATCTTTGACTGTGTTTCAAGCCCATAATTATTTGGCAAGTGGTTTAATGACCCAAAAGTAGTTTGACAAGACCCGAAACAGTTAGAGCTTCATGACATCAGAGGATAAAACATTTAAAATTGCAGAAATTTTAGAACCCATGCCTCCAGTATATATTTTTACAGCTAATTGGTTTGAGCCACTGTGTCTGGATTGAAATCCAAACATTTTTATGCTGTTTCAATGTTTTTCCAGCTCTCTGAGCTTCCCATATGAGTTAAGGAATTGGAAAGCAGCAGTGTCACTGTGCTGCTGTGACAGGGAAGGTTAAGCCATCCTAAGTTCCTCATCAGTGCAGGCTGCTGCAAGATTTTGCACCGGTACAGAAGCATATGAATACCTATGGTAATGTGGTAAGATTGGTGCAGAGGGACAAGTGGGACTGTCCTGGTGCTGTCAGAGCACGTCTGTCTGAAGTAGCAGTGCAGGCTTCAGTGCCACAGAACAAAAGGAACTATAGATTTGGGCAGTGAATTTCTGTGAGGAGCTGTTTTCTTGGAGCTCAGTTTTGACAGGGGCAAAAAATATCTTTTCAGTGGTCAGGTATTCACCAGGAACTGCAAAATGGATGCAGATCGATCCTCACAGGGTCATGGAGCAGGGTGAGAGTTCATTTTCCACATATGAGTCATCTGTCTAGGAAAGGGGGAGGGAAAGGAAGAGATATTATGCTGTCTGAAGAGTTCTTGTGGGTGAAACAGCTGAATGCCAATTTTCATTTAGACCAAGTCTTCGAACTGAGGAGTGAAAACACAGCCCAAGTTAAAAAAAAATAATTCCAGCTGCCTTTTAAGAAGAAGTTTTAACTGCTTTAAATGCTTTGGAATTCAGGTTTGATTTGAGATCTGCTCTGTAGACACACTACTTTTATCCTAGAGCAGTACACCAACCAAGCCAGTAATTTTAAGGATATGTTGTGTGTTTCTTTGGGAGCATATACAAGACAGATCTGTGTATACTCCATGCCAGTCAGACATCACCACTGTGGGGTACCTGGTCTGCAGCTGTTTTATGTCCATCTCATATGGGCACTTCTGTTACATATTTTTCCCTGAATTCTCAGTCTCAAATAATTCTCTTCATATGATCAACATTTCCAATGGAGTGCACTTATAAAGCCAAGACATATCATGAAACTATTAAGAAGACTGTTGCTTACACAAATCTGTGACAAGCTCCTCTGTTAGCCCAGTTTGCCATATACTTCTTTTTGCATAATCTTTATATTTCTCTTTGGAAAGTTCATTCTCTATCTTACAATTCATTCACACCTTCTCCATCTTATTTCTCATGTGAAACTGAAACAAGTGCTTCAGCTTCACCTAAGTTTATTTAATCAAGAATTTGATCAAGTATATTTCCTTTGCTCTGGGCAGTTGGTTATTTTATATAAGAAAGAGTGAGTGACCAGTAAGCCACTTTATATTTTTGTCTGCCTTTTATTTTGATTGTTTTTAACATAGATCTTGAATTATATGTGTAGAGAAGTTCATTTTTACACACACTTAAGATGACTCTGTTTTCTAGCTAAGCAAACAACACACAAAGAACCACAAAATAATTTATTTGTTCAACTGCTTTTAGATACCAAAAAATAACCTTATATGAGTATGTAGGGGATAAATCTGAAGGAAAAAAAAGGGGAAAAAAAAAGCATGATGAAAATACAGGCAGATCACAGGAAAGGAACGTGCCAACCTAAGTTGCCAGGCTTTTATTTATTTATTCATTTAGCAAGGTTTAGAGAGAGGTGGAAAAAAAAAATACTTGTGTGTTGCAAGAGGTTTAGGGGAAGTGACTGCTGAAATCAGAGTATAAATGGTTTGCAAGGTCAGTCTCCGGAGCAGTTAGTGAGTAAAACAAGAGTGGAAATAACACAAAGTACTCAAAATAAGTAGGGTCCAATACTGAATGTGTTTGGATGAGTTTCTGAATCTCTAGAATGTTGTTCCTGGGCTATGCAGCTCTGCTCTTGTGTTGGATGTGTTGTACTGCACAAAGAGGTAAGCTTTAATGTAGAAAAAAATCAGAGCTCTTTCTTAAAGTGTATGTGAAAATGGTATTTAAAACAATATGCAGAGGCATTGTAGCCTTTCTAATGAACTTCTGACAACAGTGACTGAGATTTCTTCTGGCAGTATTTAACACCTTTAGTATTTCATATCTTATCATAGGTATTACTTCACCTATTTATTTGGATAACTACTGCTGTTATTAATCTGATGCTCAAATTTTAAACGTTAGAATCACTATAAACTAGAGCCAGATGACTAATTTTTTTAAATTATGTTTGTTAATTATTCTAACTTCTAAAGCCAGTAAACAATTAGTAGAATAAGATAAAAAATATTCCATAAATGTGCATTTATTTCTGTCTGGAATAATCTGTGAGATGATGTAAGAAAGAGAAATCATTACTAAATTGACTGAAAAGCTTATAAAATATCTCTTGACTGATAGACTGTTTTTAGTCTATGAAATGAGATAGGTGTATACAAGTATGCTTTTGTACATGTTTAAATAGGTAGCTAATATACTGTATATCTTTTCACAAGCCTCTGATGCTTTTAGTTTCTCTATTGAATTTATTTTTCTTTATTTGTGTTTATATTGTTTAATCTGTCCTCAGTAATTTAATTTTTCTTTTTGCTTTGCACACACTGTTGAGGAAAGGGTGCTGTGTGGTTTTGAGCTAGTGTGTCTTTGCTTGGTTCAACTTGTTTTTAATTTTGGGTGAAAGCTATGAGGACCTTATTAATCAAAACAATCCAATAGATTTTACTTTGAAAAATTGAAAAAAAATCAGGAAATTAAAGGAATAGCTTATCTTAATTAAATATTCTTATAATAAATACTGCCTCAAACCAACTAATAAAGTCTAATTTGTTTGCAAAGAAGTCCAGAAAAGTCCTGGAACTTGAACTAAAAATTTTCCCTAATTTGCACTATGTTTTCACAGTGCTTTATTTATGCTAGGGAGATTACAAAACAGTGTGAATGTAGCAAAATTTGATTTATCCAGGACAATTATTACTATGGGTCATGCAGGATTCTTAGTTCCAGCTCCATATTGGAAGTCTGTGTGAGTTGTTCCAAGAGCTCAATTTTTGCACAAGGACAGAAAAACACTTCTACTTGGATTTGTAGCTTGTGCTTGACTTTGTGGAAGTTGCTACCAGCACAATGATGGTAAGAAAGCAGCTTGAGCTATTTGTAACTGAGGTCAAGTCACATGCAAATCCTGAGTGAATTATTCCAGATCTCCTTGTCTCTCGCAGAAGGATTTGAAGGTATGCATTAAATGCATGCTTTCAAATCTAGAAATAAAACCCTTCCAGTGTTGGTGAGTACATATGGTGAGTGCATGATGTAATTCATATAGTTTTGAAGTACATCCTGTCAGAAAAATTCTTCATCTCAAGCTACTAAGAAACTGCCTTTAAAAATATTATTACTAGCTGTAGTAGTAAATAAATAAGTATAATCTGAGACTTGATGGTATCACATGCCATCAATATCAGGGCAGGAGTGCGAAAGAACAGAGAGAGTTGATATAAAACCCAAATGGAAGCATTTCTTAGTAATGATGAAGAAACTAAGATTATCTTTCATGCTGTTTTTTTTCTTAATGTAAGCACGGAGGAGTTGTGGCCCCATTCTGCACAACAGACAATCAAAAAATATAATACAACTCAGCAGTAAACGAGGAACAGAGTAGAGAAGCTCTCCCTGCACTCAGTAGCCTATTTTTTAAATCTTACATTGCAGTGTGCTTTCTCAGCTTGCAAAGTGAAAGTGCTAATTCAAACGAGGTCTAATGAAAAGTAAGTGGAATTAGAAAAATTCCTTTCCTCATCATTACAAAGAACTGTTTGGGTAAACTAACCATTTTTAACTCGTTTCAAAGACAAAATTAGCTAGAGAATTCCTGTTCATTTTGCTTATTCCTACATTTTACAAAACTGTTGTTAGAAAGCAAATGTGTCTTGATCTTGCTAAGTATAAGTCCCTACTTCTTTTTTATAGTAGGGTAGTACCCTCTAGTGCATAGAAGCAATAATTTTTATTCAGATGTAATTATTCAGAGGAGGGAGTAAACTAATTAAAGTAATGGGAAAAAACATGAACATGGGGGCACACTCTTCCTTTAGCACCTCAGCAGTATTGCCAAAACTTGTCTAATTCCTCTGGCTACTTGAAATAGCCAAACTAAAGTTATCAGATCACACGATTACCATTATTTTCTTTATATTATCAAAATGCCATACAGAGCATTTAAAATTATACATGTTTTTCTTGTAACAATTTTTTTTTCCTGATTTTTACACAATTCTATAAAATTATGCCTCTAATTTGGTAGGTACTCCATTGACTGAAATAGGGAGTGCTCAAGGGTGTGTCTTTGCACAACTCGAGTATAATTCACTTTCCACATTTTGATGTGGAAGAATGAGTGTTTTTCCTGCTCACTTTGTGTCACAAATCCAGGCTACCTAGTCTGTGGTTGGGATCTGTGCAGTGTAATTCAGGAAGCTGTAACTCTGCATCCCTCCCATGAAAAAGGATTCTAGTTATTTTTCCTGTAGTCCTGTTTTCAAGAAGCACCTGGACAACCTGTAGGAAAGCTTCAGTGAGAGTACTGCTGCTTTCTCAAACCTTTGGCCTTACAGCTAACTGGAGAGAGGACTTCTGTGCCAGGTCTCTGCTGCATAATGAATGTACTCACCAAGGACTTTCCTTCCCTGCTGGAGAATTCTTCTCTCATTTATTTTCTATACAGAGATTTCATTTCTTTTCCAAGGCTCCATTTCTCAGTGGTTCTTTTATTTATTCCTGATGAATTCTCACCTTTCCTGTTCAGATGGAAACCAGACTTCGTTGCATCTAATTGGCTAGACTGTTCAGGCTCTGTTACTCTGGGTAAAGCTTCAACCTTCCAAATGAGTACGTTTCAGTCACCCAGGCACTGAAAATTAGTCACTGAAATTAGTTCAATAATTATAAACAACTAAAAAAATTGTTTCTTAACAAAGTCATTTAGTCTTTCATTAACAGCTTCCCAACATTTGTTTCTTTCTGCTTTAGTCTGGCTTTTCTCATTCTCAAGCTGTTGAGGAATTCCTTAATTAAATTGATTCAGGCTCATTTATTGTAATTCATAATCTCATGGACAAAAGAAAAGAAGTTTTGGAATATCGGGTGATCTGAGCCTGGAGAGAAAGTTTAGGCAATGTAAAGGTGAGAGGAGATTTGACAGAATTTGATCAAATGACACATGAAATTAATGTCAGTAAAGATGGTGGTGGTTGGAGAAGAAAACAGTTTGAAAGGAAACTCTACCTGGAATTGTGCATGGAGTTGTTCTCTGTGGCAGTGGAAGGACAGGCATGGAGCAGCTTCTGCAGATGGAAGGGTAGGAGGTGTCTGTGATTAGAACCAGGGCACTAATCTCGTCTCAGTCTTTGTAACTAAAATCTGTTTTTGAATCATCACAGTCCGGTGTGGTTTCTTGGCACTTGCTTGGCTATTTTCATGTCCTTCTAAAGGTCTATTCATATTCCTACAAAATGTGGATTCTTGGCAGTTTCCTATTTTGTGGTGATTAAATAGACAACCTATGTTGGTTTGATCACAAATGTCCCCGGGATTTTGTGCTACATTTTCTATTGTAAAATTGTTTTGGTGTTTGTAGCATGTGCTTCAGTCACCAATATTTTTATTTAAAATTTTTAGCTTGTGAAGAACCTCCTCCCAGGAGGGTTAAGGAAGTGCCTACTAAAGTATGGGACAAACCTCCCTATCCACATGGTACTCAAGCAACATACGGTTGTCGGCCTGGATATATAAAACCTGGACGAATTATGTTTAAGTGCGTTGATGGGGCATGGCAGCAGCAGCCCCCAGTGATAGAATGCAAAAGTAAGTATTTATGCAAAATACAAGCAAACATTTGACCTGACAGATCACATTCCTTGCCAGTGATGTCAATGTGAAATTGCCATTGTGTCTTTACCTGTAACTTACTTATTTCTGCCATCTTTAAAATATCCTCCTAAAAAGTATGTATGCATAAGGAAACATTTTTTGAAGTTCCTTTTCTTGAGATCAAAAGATTTATTTTTTTTTTCTTGAGAGAAGATCTTACCCTAGGCCAGCCTTATCAACCCAATTTATGTTATTAAGATCAGTTATTGAATTCTTAGAATCTTGCTTCCAATATTTTACTAAATGTCTAATACTGATGAAACTTACAGTCTAAGCAGAAGAAAGCACTATCCTAGCTTCTGGATGCAGTCAAAAAACAGTTTATTCAACTAGTTCTATAAGTGATATAATTTCTTGAAAGTGGGGTATTATTTTTCCCTGCCTTTTCTTTTAATCTGTAATTCACAATTAGGATGAGAGCTTCTATTTATTGTCTCTAGTTTACTGTGCTAAGAGTTTAGAAGTATCTCACAACCTCATATAGAATTCATTACTGAAGAAATTGAAGTTTATTATTATTAGTCAGCAGATACTTCTTTTCTGTAATACCTGAGTTTTAAACACAAAGGAATTTTAGAAACATGAGGAGTTTTTCTTGCATATCTAACATACAAAATTTTTGATAGTAGAATGTAAATGTTTGATTTAATAATATAAATTTAAGTTCCAGGTGTCATTCAAACAGAGATTGATACAAATCATAAGTAAGAGTTAATTAAGAAAGTTGCTGCATTTTTTTTACATTTTTTATTTAGTCACCGTCTCAACTTTTAGATTTCTTTGTTTAACTACTCAGTGAACATGAACTTATACAAAATTTGGTGTAGTTTTAAGTATCATGTTTTAGCAAATACTGCCACCCAGTGAGCAGCTACTGCCACAGGCAAGGTGGGTGGGAAGAGAGAAGGGATGCTCTGCCACAGACTAAGGGAACACATTCCTTTTCCAGGATAAGCCACAGTAGACAGCAAAACTGATCATGAGTTTTCCATTTTCTCTGAATTCCACTGTAGTGGATGTAGGGCCTACTGAAACACCTCTTGGTTGGAAAAAAAACAAGGATGTTGATATGCCCTAAGAAATGAAATTGCCTTGATCAACAGGGACCAGGAAAGACTTCAGAGAAGGGCTGATAGGTTTTAGCTGTGCAGTTTATTTAGCAGTTCATATTATAGCATCAAAAGGGGATGAATGAGAGGGATGGTATGTTCATCTCTGCCACTCTTTTGGGAATCCAAGGTAAAGAGTTAAGAATGCCCTATGGGGAACTTGGAGCAAAAAGCACTAAGGATCAAAATACTCCGGTGACTTTAGATCACCTCTCTTTCCTTAGCACATTCCCCATCAGATTTCATTTCCAATCATGGATGGATTCTCTAGTGGAAGTTTTGGACGAGTTTATGTCACAAATTGCATAAAGCTGTGCCATAAATTTGTCACAAAGTCTAAGATGCGCTCAACCTTTTTAAAGGTATAAAACCAGCTAATTTTGGGGTTGGGTTTGGTTTTTTTTAAAGAAGCACATGCATACTCCAATATGTTCTCATTGAAAATAGTGATAAAAAAGGGAGGCATTAATGAAACTAATGCTGAGCATTTTTGAATTTTTGAAAGACCTGTACTCACTACTAGTTACTGAAAAAATGCTGTCTTTTACATTTTCACATTCCTATGTATGGTGTAAGTACATTTTTTTTTCCTCTTCATCATCATCATCTTCTTTTCTTTTTTTTTTTTACCAGATAAACCCTGTGGGCATCCTGGAGATACTCAGTTTGGTTCCTTTGAACTTACTGCTGGAAGTGAATTTGTATTTGGTGCCAGAGTTGAGTACAGATGTAATGATGGGTAATATTTGTTTAATTCAATGTATGGCAATTAACATAAGGTGTTAATTATAGTGTCAGTTATAGATTTGTTCTCTGTAATGCAGCTGTAAAGCATCTTACTGATATTCAATACTTGCTTATGGTTGAATTTGAATTTCTGCCATTACAGTAAATACTGAAGATAACTCGTTCTCTTGTCTGGTGCTACTGCAGTAACTGAACTCATGCACTTGATGCTTCATCCAAAGTGTCTAAAATACGCAAGGCTTTATCTAACTTGAAATCACAGCTGTTGAGTAGCAAACAAAAATAGTGGCCTGTCTGTAAAGCTACATCTTGACTCCATGAGCCAACCAGTTCAGATGGAAGTGTAGGTCGGTATGCTGGAGTCTGTGCTGTCAGTAGGTAGCCAGGATGCTGGCCATATAACAATTATGGTCATATAACAATCTCCTCTTCAGAACCACAACTCGCCAGTCCTACTTCAATCATTTTTTGCATTATGAAGTAAAATGTATTGTAAAAAATGTTTGAAGGAAGACATTTCTGGTAGACTCACTAGTGTGTCTGCACTGAACGCTTGAAAGAAATTCTTCTCCCTTCCACCTCTATTTACCTTCTCCAATGAAAACTGCAGCAAGTTGAATACATGGTATTGTGCTTAGTTAAGTGTGCCTGTGATTGGGTTCTTTCCTCTTGAAACACAAATCAGCTCTCAGCATGGTACTGTGGTTTAGCCATGATTTTACTGTTGTTATATTACTGGAATCTAGTCTGAGTTTCACAAAGAGAGCTCCATAATCAATATTCTCCTTAATCCTTTAACTTCCATTCCTCACTGTCATTTCAGACCATCTATACTTCCTCTGACTGCCTTTCAGACCAAGCAGAAGCCATGGCATTGTGGTCATATTGCCCTCAAACTTAAGATAATACTTCCTCATAAAAACATGACACATATGGTTTGGATTAAGTCCTATGTGGATGCTGTCACATGGCTTTCAGCCATACTAGAAGAGAAGGAACAGGAGCTTTATTCTCCTTGCTACTTACTGTGCAAATTGCCCCTAGATTATTTATTATGTAGCCAGAGCTTGCTATCTCTGTAATGAAGAAGCCTTCTTACTAATTCTTTCCTACTTTCTGATTTTATTTTATATTTTCACATATGCAATTAAGGGAAAACAAATAGGAGACATGCAGATCAAAAAACTACTCTGTTTTGTCACATTTTGATTGTTCTGTGCTGGAACATCTGACACCTACTTCCTTTGCTTCAAGAACAGCAGCGCTGTTGTTTCTGTCACATAATGAAACTGTATTTTAGCATTGTTTACTTTTTGTTGGGTAAGTTACCAGATGCTCAGCCAAAGAAATTACCGTGAATGTCAGGCAGATGGATGGAGCAATGATATCCCTCACTGTGAAGGTAAATGGAGTTTTATTCTCTGTTTAATTCATTTATTTATTATTTTTTTTAAATTTACTTATTTGATTGCACTTAATTCTCTATCAGACTGCCTTTTTATCGATCTGAAACTATCTAGAGCTAGTCTGTGATCATTTACAGGTATTAATTCACATACGTATAAATTCAAGTTAGGCAGCAGTGAAACCCTTACAATGACTGCTCAGCCAGTTTGGTCCAAGAAGCTTTTGTTAAAAACCATTCACGAAATGGAGTCCTGTTACTTCCAAAATGATTTAAAGCTCTGCCTCACCTAAAGGCCCTGATAGAGTAGCTGCCTGTAAAACATGGCTGCAAAAGATATTTGGGATGCTGTGCTTCAAAGGAGTGTGAAGGCATGTGTGTTTCTAGCTAGTTCCCTCCTCCACCCTTGTGAATATACTAACCACTCAGATTTTATTACAAGGTCTTCTCCCTGTTATTAGCATACTGTGAAAAATGTTCAGTCAGTTAGAGTGAGAGCAAGGGAGACTCAGACATCAAGACTTAAAAGACTGGATGGCTCAGATGATGCTTCCCTGATCTTTGATGATATAATTTTTAATTGGTCTATTTTTAATATATGTGGGCAGCAATGACATTTTCTCTGATGTCAGGAAAAGGTCTCTAAGTAAAGAATCATAAAAGAAGGTAGATATCTTTCTCTTGTCTAGAGTTTGTTGTCTGTGTTCTGACATTTCCTTGGATTTAGATACATCCCATTTAGTGTAATGGATTTTGAGTATCCTCAAAATTAGTCATACAGGTCTATCTGCACAGTATAGAGCAAGGGTTTCCAGCTTTTTTTGTCATGTGTCACCAAGATACTGCAATTTTAAAGTCCTCCTAAGATAGATATTTCTTTCATGGTTGACTTGTCATTGAAATACGATTGCCTATGAAAGAAAGTATTTGTATAATGTCCTAAATGTGAGGAACCTAGAAGACAGAATATGGACTCACAAAAAAGGCAGATGACTTACAAGATGGTGAATGCTGTCAGAGAGAAGTGGGAGCTTTGGTAGACAAAACACAAGCCACTTTTTTACCTGCTCAGGGATGTCTATGTGAACGTTTAAGATTGAGTTTTGATAGTAATTTTCCCCCTCAATACAAAATATTTGATGACATATGTTGACTCTTCCTTTTTTCTGCAGGTACAAAATTGGGAGATGCTAGAGGTCTAAATTAGTGGCTGACACTGTGTTTGTTTACTTTAGTAATATAATTTCTCTGATAACCTTAGCTAGGATTTTAGTTAATAGCTGAACTGTTCTAGTCAGCCTGTAATGCAGCACTCTTCCAGATATCTGTCTATAGCAAATTCAGTTTGGCACAGCTCTAAACTAAGTCAACCAATTCTGACAAATTTTAATGGCCCTGTGTGACAGTCAAGGCTCATCTGACCATCCATAGAATGCACGAGCTTATAGTATAATTTAGATTGGGTGTGAGACCCCAGGAGGCCATGTAGTTTAGTGAGTGCTCTGTCTTTAGCCTTCAAGGGCAGACAAGAGGATGATGAGAGACCATCTATAAGCTTCTTCCTGTGTCAGTCTGTCTTTTTCCTTAGGCAGTTGTATTATATCTGCTGAAAACGGTATCTGAATGCAAAACTAAAGAGTATATTTTTTAAATGTGTAAGGAAATTACAGTGAGTTTTCTGTATTTTCACTTTTTTGTGTGTTAATTTATTTTACAGACTAGATCTCAAAATTACTCCTTTTTTTCCTTTCCTTTTGTTTTGTTTTATTATTCCAGTGGTAAAGTGTTTACCTGTACAGGCACCAGAAAATGGAAGAATAATTATGGCTGGTGCATTTGAGCTAGACCAAGAATATGCCTTTGGCCAAGTTGTAAATTTTGAATGTAATGCAAAATACAAGCTTGTTGGAGCTAAAGAAATAATTTGCTCATCTAATGGAAGATGGAGTAATGATGTGCCTCAGTGCCAAGGTAAAAAGGACACTACTTACAATGTGTAATTAAGAAGCTTTATTCTCACAGACTCCTAAGGACTGGTTACCACATGGGAAGCTACAAAGCTTTTACTTTATTTCACAGCAATTAAACATAGTTCGTCTGTAAACAATCTCTGTTGCATATATGAAGAAGAAGTAGGATAAGAAAGAGAAATGTGATAATATTGGATGCTAATATAATCATAATAGACCATCTGTTTGTTCCACATTTTCACTACAAGCTGAATGTTTTGCCAGACTGCAGTCAAATTCTTTGAAAATAACTTTGATATGTCTACCAGAAATTCAATCACTTCAGTGTTAATTTAACCAAAGTAACTAGAAATGATTTTGAATCTATGTGAACCAAAAATAAACAAGTAGGATTTTTAATCTTAGGGTATATAGAATACAAAAAAAGTCCTGATGGGTTTTTTCTTTCTTCACGCTAAGGTGTTTTTACAAGTTAGAAGGTTCATGTTTAGTTTTTACAGAACCACAGAATCACAGAAGAGGCAAGGCTGGAAGGGACCTCTGAAGAGCAATTAGCTAGGGTGAGTTGCTCAAGAGTATGTTCAGTCAGCTTTTGAATATCTCCAGCAACAGAGACTCCACAGCCTCTCTGGGTAACCCATTACAGTGTTTGAACACCCTTTAGTAAAAATATTTAAGTGGTATTTCCTGTATTTCAATTCATACCCATGTTTCAATTCATTGCCCCTTCTCCTAGTATGGCTGGCTGCCAGTGAGAGAGGTCTGGCTCCATCATCTTTACTTCTGCCTCCCCACAAAAGTCAAGAATTTACATATATAAAAAGAACCCTTCCTTGCCCACCCCAAACCTTCTTTTTTCTAGACTCTCTTAAATCTCTTTTAATCTGTCAATTTTTCCAATTCCTTAATTATCTTCACTGGATTTGCTCCAATATGTCCATATGTTTCCTCTATTGAGGAGTTTGGACCTGGGGAGATGTAGAGGGAAAGCATCACCTCTTTTGATCTGCTGGCAACACACTCCCCAGTGGAGCCCAGGATACTGTTTTCTTCGTTTGCTGCAAAGGCACATTTCTGGCCCCTCTTGAACTTGTCCGTCAGGATCTTTTTTTTTCCTGCAAAACTACTTTTCAACCAGTGGACCCCACGCTGCCCTGCTTGCAGCTTGTACAGGTGGATGGAGTTATTCCTTCCAGTTTGAGGACAGAGATTGTATGGGATTGGATTATCAGTATGTAAGAATGAATCTCAGGAAGATTATGGTAACAAACACTTAAATACTCAGACTATCAAGTTTCTTATATTATTTACATGTTATCTGATCAGGAAACATGTATTTAGAAGAGCAGAGTATGTCTATCAACATGGCAGATACATGTATGGCTTGTTCACAATTTCAGCGCAGCGTTTTGCTACTTTGAAATCCCCATTTATTATCATTTATAGCATAATCCCAGATCAAAAGTGGAATGAAACATATGTGCTTGTAACATTTGCAGAATCTAGTGAATTTCATTAAACAATGACAGTTCCAATGAGCTATATTTCATCCTAAATACAAAGTAAATTCAGAAAAGGAATCCAAGAGAACTCTTGGGTGTTCTGCTCTGTGACCGAGGAAGCAAAGTCTTGAATATTTTCTGGTTTTCTGAACTCAGTTTTAGGAAACTGCAAGATCTTGGTGGTTTTATTGGATTTGGCAAGGAGCTGGCATTGCTGATGTTCTTTCATAGATAGTTAAGCATTCTAGTGTCAGTTTTCCAGATCCTTTCATTCTTTTTTCCTTTTGATGTAACGATTTAACTAATAATCTTCTGGCTATGGGAGTGCACTAGGTTTTCTGGAAACTACAAACAAATTATCTGAAAAAAGGAAAATCCTAAATTTCAGCTAATGTAGTTTCTGATTTTGGAATATATTCTGCATTATATATTGATTCTGGGATCCATTAAATTCCAAAGCAAAGCCCTGCAATCTGTTTCATGAATCAATTTGCACCTGATGCTGTGCTACTTTCTACCTGGAATCCACAATCAGGTCACTGAAGAGCTCTCAAATAAGTTTCAAACAGCTTCCAAATGCAAAAGTTTTTGTGAATTCAAATTTAAATAAAACCCCAAACCTAAATTTTATTACAATAGGATTTTATGCTTAGCAAGTAAAAATAAAACAGAATACATGGCTTTTTGTCTTTCTCTGTTTCAGATATTAGCTGTGATGTGCCAGAAATTCCGAATGGATATGTACATTCCCCAAAGCAGTCTTACAAGGAATCGGAAATATTGCGGTTTGCCTGTAACGATGGATACAACTTTGGTGACAGATCAGATGCACTATGCACTGAAACAGGATGGAATCCACCTCCCTATTGCACTGGTTAGTCTTGCCTAAAGTGGTTTTACACATTTGTTGGGTTTGGAAGTAATTTCAGAGATTAATCAGTTTATTCGTAACAAAATAAATCCATCCACATCTAACCAATATCCATGAAGATCTGGAAGGATTAAGTACTAAAGGGACCAAGCAACTGGATAAGAATTTTCCATGGAGAGCAGTAGCAAAAGAAGTTAGTTCAGGTTTGTTTTTCTTTTTTCACTTGAGTGTAGATTGAGAGGTCCACAAAGCAACAATTGCTCCAGTATTCTACATAATCAAGAGTGATGCTAAAATACTTCATGCAGCATTGGTAGCTGCATTATAGTTGTTATTATATTGTATTTTTATATAATTCTGAATTAGTGGGAAGAGCATATGAAAAAGGTTTCTTGAGTTAGAAAAAAATCCTAATTTGGACAGATAGGAAGGATAAAGCTGAATACCTTCTACAAAACACAGTGAGAATGTTTTCTCAAAGGAATAGAAAAAAATCAGACATGAAAAAGAAAATTTAAGCAAGCAGGAAAAAAAGTATTAGTACCAGAGAAATTCAAACTGCCCTAAGAACCATGGACATAAAGTGATGTATAAACAGAGACCAAAGGACCATGGGATGCATGAATCCTGCCCTTGTCGATGACCCTTAGTCTAGGATGAAGACAGCAATATGTTTAATGTCATCAGAGCTGTAATTGAACAGCCACATTATCCGCACCGTTCAAACTTCACAATTGTCTGAGAATCTCTACAAATTAATATATTTACAATGCTAAAGCTCTCTATTGCTTTTTAACTCTCAAATGCCTTCTGGGCAGTTTATGTGACAAATCCGTAATTTTTGAGGCTAGTCCTGTTTGACATCAGCCCTCTGGGTCATGGATTTTACTTTAGTTTAATTCAGTTACAGCATTTACAGACTATATTTAAATCTCTAAATCCAGCAAACAGAAATATGCATGTTATATCCCAGCTGAAGCAGTTTGATGTAAATTTTGGGGAAATTATTAGTACCTTGAGTTGTCTTCAAGAAATTGCCGAACTCTTGAGACTGGAAAAAAATGTTGGCAACAGGGCAACATTGTAGGATCTTATTTGCCACCTACCTTCCTGGGACCTCTTCCAGAAAGACTCCTTTAGAAATAAAGACTTGTCAGTCTTGGGGCCCACTCAGTTCTTGACCTTTCTGCTTCAAGATTAGTAATGGTACTAATTAATATGCACCGCCTACATTTGAGCAACATACTGCTTTTGAGGAGTGCCAAACAAACGTTCTTCTAGACACCAATGTACTGGGCTCTGATACTTGGGGCATATTCAAACAGTGGTTCTGGATCCTACTTGACTTATCACTGAACCTAGAGGATTCAGCAGTACATGCATGCAACTGATTCACCCACCTTCACAGCAGGACCAACCCGTAGTCATTCCCTCCCAACCCTGAGAGTGCTGGTGGTTTTTTCTGAATTGGAAGTAGAATACAAGAAATCTAAAGGACAGATTCTGTTTTATAAAGAATACATTTACCTGGCTTCTCTGAGCCTAAGGATACCATGAGTTTTTTAGAATAAGATTCTTGACCTTTTTCAGTTGTCGAAATACTTCCAGTGTCAGTGTAAGTCCCTAATCTTAGTCACACAGCCTTTGAATGATCAGTTCCTAGTTGAGTGTAGATATTTCCCCCTTTAGGACCTGCTAGTGACACTGCCCTACTTTGGGACAGTGTCCATAAATGAGCCCAGCATAACCCAGCTGCAGAAAGACCTCTTGGAAAAAAATAGTCAGATTCAGTTTGATTTCCTCCGGTTCTTCTTTCAGCCATTCCCTTTGCAATTTAGTTTTAAGCTTCTACTTAATATGACATCAGTAACAGCTGTCGTTCTTCTCTTACAGAACTATAAGAGTGGGACAGGAATGTAATCTTTTCTTTATCCTAAGAAACATCTTTTTAACAACTTAAGCAATACATTTAAACATATTCTTCATTTTTTCTCTTTTTATTTAGAAATTGTATGCTCCCCTCCAGTAGTTCGCCATGGGAACTTTAGACCTGACAAAGGCAGCTACAAAGCAGGTGATACAATCACGATACAGTGTGACCTTGGGTATCATTTTAAAGCATTGACTGGCGGAAACACAGCTGAATGTACCGGGAATGGCTGGGTGCCTGAACCAGCTTGTGTCTGTAAGTAGCTCTCATGGATGAAGACACAAAATGTAGAGTTGTTAGAAGCATCTGAGAGAAAAAGAGGTCAAGAGCAAAACTCAAGGAGCAGTAGGCATGGGAGTAACTCATTTTTTTTCTTTGTGATGTAAAGCTTAATGTGATGGTTTAGAAAAATCACCTATAAAACAATGGTTTAATCAATATTTACATTATGTTTATTAACACAGGTATTATCTATTACTATATTTGTGAATTTGTTAAAATGTGCTATAGTCAGCTCACTTGTGCCCCACCCAAGGAGCATCTTAGTCAAGATAAGAGGACATCATGAGTGTTTAAGTACAAACTATAGGTAATGGTTGGCAGATGTCTTTCCTCTTAGCTGTCAGAGCTTTAGATTTTTACTTGGAGTTGTAAGTTGGCTTTATGAATAGTCGCATGTATTTCTATCTGTTATAACCTGTCAGATAACAAAACAAGGTATTCTTGATGGTTGATGAGTTCTTTATTGTCTTAAACTTCCCATAACTACAATGATAGTTTTGTCCAGTAGGCACGATAAAAAAATTAATATATAATTTAGCAATTAATTTCATAATCTAGCAGTCTTTGATCTTTGGTCATTGACAATAAAAGAAAAACTTAGAACAGATTGTGAGAGAAACCCTGATGAAATCAGTCTTCTAAATAAACCTTTGGATAAGTTGATTTGAGCTGTTTCTGAAAAGTGCTCTGTTAATATCTGTATTAATGTTTTCTCTATATTAGTATGAGTTCCAAAATTCAGGTATCATTCTGAGACCATTTCATTGATTATTGAATGGTCTGTCCAGTGAGTGGTCTGCCCTGCCTCTGCAGGTAGGCTCTGGATCAGAGCATTTCAGGTAAACTTGAATGAAAGCATCTGGGAATCTCCTCCTTCAATCCTTGACTTCTCCCTGAAAAAGGTCAGTTCTTTTGAGGAACCAAGAGAACAAAATTACAATTTTAAAATAAAATTTTAAAATAAAAATGAGAAGAGTAAGGAAGCGCTTTTCGTGCAGGGTCCCAAAAGTTACAAATGGAAGTGGTAACAGGAATCATCTCAATTTTAAGATTGTACAGGTCAGTTTCTATATCTGAACCACATGTCAGGGCTCCCATCATGTTCAACATAGTAAATTTAGTCAAGACCCTCTACAAGGACAATGTCATCTCACTGTAGAAAAATATTTACATTTAGTCTCATGAATCAGCCTTCGGAGTCTGCTGAGAATATTTCCTGGATTTCTGTTGATTGCAATGGAATTGGGGGAAATGACAGAGCTATAAGCACTGCCAAAGACACCAGCAGCACAGTGCGATTGTTCCCACACTCCTGAGGGGTGTGCCAGGGTGGGCAGTCCTGGTTCTGTCTGTTTCTGAAAACACCCAGATGATGAGGCTGAATCTGAATTAATTGTGTGCTAAACTTTTTATCATGCATGTGTTGACATTGTTGCTCTTAAATTCTATTTCAAGCGAAGCCGTGTGACTACCCAGTTATAGAAAACGGCAGGTTAAGTAACGCATATGAGAACCACAGATACTATTACTTTCCAATGAGATTTGGGCAGAGTGTTGACTACTACTGTTTCCAAGATTATTCAACCCTCACTGGAAATACCTGGGGTCGAAGTTCATGTTCTGAAAGGGGCTGGTCTCCAGCACCAAAATGCCTGAGTAAGTGCATTTCCAAGATATACTCAATTCTGTTATAATTATGAGAGGTCTGTGCAGCTGAAATTGTTCTGATGGAACACAAGACAAAACAGTTTCTTAGAGTCAGACTGCTTTAGCTGACCCCTGGAACTGCATCCAAACTGTTATCCTCTCTGCAGAGCTCAAAGTGTCAGCTGGAGACACTCTGAAATGAGTAAGGCTGAAATGATGCTTTTGGATTTGGGAGATTTTTTACTCTTGAAACTATTCATGAGATTAAGAAATATATGGGAAGTCTTCTCTGGCTTCTGGGTAACATGCAAGCATATACTTTCCTCTGGACACACAGCTGCACATGCAAACAGAGAGTTTCTAATCTTTGTCAATATATTCTCCCTTCCATGGCTTGGGCACTTTGTCTAGAGGTTCCTCTCTGAGAACCATTGCCTGGTCCCTTTGGAAAGCTTTTGGAGCTGAAAAGATGTCACACTCTTGGAATAAGCTGAAAGTGATCGTGGCATCAGCAAAAGAACCAGATACACTCCTTAGATTTAAAATGAATTAGACTTCCATTTAAAGCAGCAAGGTGAGATCTCCTCTCAGACAGCTTCAGTCACAGCAAAGTTCCTGCCTACTGGTAGGACTGGAAAGTGGATTACAAAAGGTTGATCTTTCCTTGATGCCCTCAGTGGAGTGGTGCTCAGTGCAGGAAAGGAATGGAGCCCTGCCTGGAGGAAAGGACCAGTTACTCAGATAACACTCTATAGCATTCCTTCAGCCCATGTCTGGGCTCTTGGGGTGCAGGAGGCCATAGAGCCAGTGTGCCAAGCTGTTGCTAAAATCTCTAGACCTGCTTTGAGAGGCTGATACACTTCTACAGAGATGATAAAATCTCCAGGAGGCAAATGCTGAAATTCACTCTGTGCAGACACCAACAGTTTAGAGACAAAGCAGACCAAACTAGAGCTGGTGCACATGAACAGTAAGCAAGAGATTGTGGTTACTAGACCAGCTCTTTTTGCTTTATGTAGTGACTTCCACTTCTGTTCATGTGATTCATTAATCTCAGAGGACTGAAATAAAGCAAGCTTTCATTCAGGTTTGCACACAAATGTCTTTTTGGGGAGGAAGGCTACAGAAATGTGCTTGGAGGCCTGTTTCTTAGGAACTGTCTTCCTAAGAATTTTTTTACCTCAGTTCTTGCTGTAGAGATTACTGTCATTAAATGTACTTCCTTCTTCTTTAGAAAAATGTACTTCCTTTCTTCTTTAGAAAAATGTTATACCAGGCAGCTGATAAATGGTTATTTCCCAAGACACCAGATGGATTTTTACAAAGAAGGTGAAACAGCTACATATGCCTGCAACAATGATTACCATGCTGAGCATAAAGAAGTCACATGCACAAGGAGTGGCTGGTCCCCTCATCCCAGATGTATCCGTGAAAGTGAGTGTGCTTGTATTTTGTTGAGGTTTCTGTCTAACAGCAGTAAACACATCATCACATGACCCATCACCACGGCTTAGTAACTCTAAGTCAAGGTGCTGGACAATGGAAAGGCAGTGCTGTGATTGTCTCACCTGTCCTCCACAGCTCTC